CTCTAATCTTTCCTCATAGCTGAGCTCCTCCATGCCTCTTATCAGTTTGGTTGCCCTTCACTGTACTTTCTCCAGTTCCCCAATGTTCTTTTTGTGAATTGGTGCCCAAAACTGAACTGCATATTCCAGATGAGGTCTTACTAATGATTTGTACCGGGTAAATATCTTTCTCTGGAGTCTATACTTCTTAATACAAGAGAGGATTTTGCTCGCTTTAGAAACCGCAGCTTGGCATTGCATACCATTTATTAAGCTTGTGATCTACCAGAACTCCCAGATCTTTCCCCACCATTGATTCCCCCAGTTGTAATCATTGTACTCCCCCTAGTATGTATGATGCATGCTTATTCTTAGCCCCAAGTGCATAACCTTACATTTATCAACATAAACCTCATTTGCCACATAGTTGCCCAATTACACAGTGCATTGAGGTTGGCTTGTAAGTTGGAGACATCATGTAAGGACGTTATTCCACTGCACAGCTTGGTGTCATCTGCAAAGACTGAAATGGTATATTTAATCCCACACCCTATATCATTTATAAATATATTAAAAAGTAAGGGTCCCAACACTGAACCTTGGGGTACACCACTGTCAACCCTAGACCACCGAGTATGAACCAATAACTACTACTCTTTGAATACGATCTTTTAGACAGTTTTCTATACATTTACATACAGATTTTTCCAAGTCTGTGGACTTTACCTTACACATTAGCCATGTGTGGGGAACTGTGTCAAACGCTTTTGCTAAATCCAAGTATACCACATCCCCAGCCACCCCTCTGTCCAAGGTTTTGCTTGCCTCCTCATAAAAAAAAAAAATTGGATTTGTTTGACAACTTCTGTCTTTCATGAATCCATGCTGTCTGTTGCTTAAAATATTTTATTCCAGCAAGAACTCATCTATGTGGTCTTTTATTAAACTCTCCAGTATCTTCCCAACTATAGAAGTTAAACTAACAGGTCTATAATTACTTGGTAAAAATTGTCACCCCTTTTTAAATATTGGCCTTACGCCAATCCAGTTGTAATATGCCAGTCATTTGAGTCCCTAAAAATTAGAAACAATGGATTTGAAATGACAGAACCAATTCTTTAAGGACCCGTGGGTGTATGCCATCCGATACAGGTGCTTTATTCACCTTTATTCTGTCTAAATATTTTTGCATCATATCAATTGTGAGCCAACGTGGATCTGGAGATGCCCCATGCTCGTTTGTATACACAGAGCTGAAGAAGGTATTTAATAAATTTGCCTGGTCTTTGTCCCCAGTCAACCACTCTGGATTATTTTGTAAAGGGCCTACATGCTCGGGCCTGACCTTTTTAAAATTAATATATTTTGAAGAATATTTTGGGGTTGTCCTGCTATCTTTTACAATCTGTCGTTCGTTTTCAATTTTTGCGGCCTTTATTTCCTATTTGCGTATTCTGTTATATTCTTTGTAATGCTTAAACAACGATAGCGTTCCTTCATTTTTAGACTTGATAAAAGCTCTTTTCTTAATAACTTTAGTCGTAAGCCACATAGTTTTGATTTTTAGCCTTTTAAACTTGTTGCCCATGGGAATATATTTTGCAGTGTGTTCACATACAGTCTTTTTGAAGCACTCCCATTTCTGTGTTGTTCATCAATGCCAATATTCACTCCCAGTCTAAGTCTTGGAGAGCAGCTCTCAGCCTTGGAAAATTAACTCTCTTAAAGTTGGGCGGTTTTATTTTTTCACGTATGTGCTTGATGTTTACAGCTAACAACATTTCAATTGCAACCGGGCCAGGTAGGCACTTCAAATGAGATTGAGTGTAGAAAAAAATACACCCTAAAACGCACAGATAAATCAAGGTAGCACTAGTGAGGTAGGCTATGTCTTTAAACTCAGAGGGATGGCTTAGGCAGGAGACAAAAGAATACTCTGAGCCATAGTCTGACGACGATGGCTTGAGAATATGGCCTGAAGAGAACAGCGAGAACGAGAAAAAATATGAAAGAGAGGGAGGGCCAGGGTAGTAAAGGTGCCAAGCGGAGCCAACTACCAAGTCTCAGGCTCAGCTGATACAGAAAGCAAAATATAGAGACCAGATTTCGGTGAGGGGAAAAGAGACAAAAATAGGAAAGGTCAAGGAGAGAAGAGGGTCCCTGAGGGTGGCGTAACCAAAACATATTGATAGATTAGGTATGCCTATGTGGGTGTGTCACCATGGTAAAAGCACCGACTCATCAAAGTCAGGGGACAGGCAGTGTTTTATCCATGGCTGCCAAGTTATCTCGAATTTCCAATCTGGTCCTTTTTTCTAGGGCTTCCAGTTTAGCATGTATTTTATGGTACAGTGCATTGCCAGATGTCTTTTATAGAGGGATTGGGGGGTAGTGTGCCTGCCATGCACATTTAGGCATTGGGAGTGTTGACGAAATCCAGGAATGGACCATGAAAGCCCAAACCAGTAATCCCCTTTTTCAACCAGAGCCAGTTATTGCTGTCAAAAGCAGTTACTGTGTCCAGGGCTAAAATCTTCTGGATGGGAGATAGCCCCCTGCAGCGCTATAGGACTGTGTACCGTTTTCTAATATATTTTATACTGCTGCTCCCCCTGACACAAACCCAACATGTGAAAAATCTATTAGCTTTAGAAAGATCACAGCCACCTAGTATTTTTGATAGGTACTTTACGCCCAGATTGATGAGAGCAATTGGACAGTACAACTGAATCCAATTTTTTTAGGAGAACCTTAATAACGACTTTCTACCCTGTTTGTAGGTATGTTTTTTTTATGCATAGGAATATGGTTGTAAAAGGATTGCAGAGGTTCACAGATCCTCTCTTTTAACATTTTATAAAATTAATTAGCTATCCCATCTAGGCCGTGAGCTTTTGTACCCGCCGTACACAAACAAACCTACATCACCTCCTTTGTGGTTTTCAAACTGTTGGTTGGTTGTCGTCAGTCAGAGACAATATATCAAGGATATCTCTGCCCACAAGATTATAAAAGTTGGCTGAACAGAAGTTACCATAATATTGTGCAAAGATTTCTGCAATACCGTACGTGCAGATTTTGTTATAGCCTGTGTATCTCTAAGATTCATGGCTAATGCTGACCCCTTGCCAAGTTGGCCAGCTCAGTGGATTGCTTTAACCACTTGCCGACAAGGCACTTACACCCCCTTCCTGCCCAGGCCAATTTTCAGCTTTCAGCGCTGTTGCACTTTGACAATTGCGCGGTCATGCAACACTATACCCATATGAAATTTTTATCTTTTTTTATTCAGAGCTTTTTTTGGTGGTATTTAATCACCTCTGGGTTTTTTATTTTTTGCTAAACAAACCAAAAACAGCTGAAAATTTTGAAAAAAGTTTTTTTTTCTTAGTTTTTGTTATAAAATTTTATAAATAAGTGATTTTTCTCCTTCACTGATGTGCACTAATCAGGTTGCAGTGATGGGTACTGATGAGGAGACACTGATGGGCATTGATAGGTGGCACTGATATGTGGCATTCATGTGCACTGGTAGGCATTGACTGGTCACTGACAGCTGGCATTGATGGCACTGCTGAGGCTGCACTGATCATCAGTGCCCTGATGATCAGTGTACATGTCCACTCTCAGGAATGCCGATTACCGGCTCTCCTCTCGAGCTGTCAGTGTGACAGCCCGTGAGGAGAGAAATGCTGATAACCGGTATTTCTCTATTTTACATGCGATCAGCTGTGATTGGACACATGACCGAGACGAAATCTTCGGCTCTTTCCGTTGATCGGTGATCCGTTGATTCTGAAGGACACAGCGCGCTCCCGGAGCCACGCACGCGCGGTTAGAGTGGGAGGACGTCATATGACATCCTCCCAGAATGAGAGAACCGCCTTGTGCCCGGCATTTCCTTATATGGCGGGTGGGAGGCGGTTAAAGTCCTTGATTCTTTCCTAGATACACAGAATATAACTGATTACTAACATTTATAGGTAAAGTTGATCCAGGGAATATCTGATTGCCTCTCGGGGGATCAGGAAGGAATTTTTTCCCCTGCAGCAGCAAATTTGATCTTTCTTTGCTGGGTTTGTTAGATCTCCTCTGGATCATCTGTGGGTGTAGGATTATAACTTTTTTTTTTCTTTGCTTGAACTGGATGGAATTTTGTCCTTTTTTCAGCCAGACTATATAACTTGTTGTATTCCTCGAACTATTCTTGAACCATTTTTGCAGTGTAGCAGGGAACATTATCCTGCAGAAAGAGACCACAGCCATCAGAGAATACCATTTCCATGAAGAGGTGACCTTCATCAGCAGCAATGTTTAACCTCTTGGCGCCGGCCGAACGCAAATGTGCAGCCTCCTGGCGTCTGGGCCTAGAGGCCGCACATTTGCGTTCCATTTTTAAAAAAAATGTGCCGAGAGCGCGTGGCCTGGCATTTATTTCCAACACTTATGTTCTTTTTACAAGCATTTATTTATTCCAGGTACTTCTATATTGTATTCACATTGTACATTGACATCATTCCCTGCCCTCAGTGATTGAGTATACACTTGATTTCCCTTCCATGCCCCTGGTTGGGCCTGTAGTACAGGAAGTTGTGGTATCAGCTGAAGTATATAGTGTATTTAGTGATACAAGAGGCCAGGGTGGTCCACGTGGCAGGAGCATGTCCCCTAATTGTGAGGTGATCTGTGATGTACACACAGTATGAGGTGCTGTACACACCACTACACATAAGGACCACCCCCTTCCCTATCCCAGTCGCCCCCTCCTCCAGCGTGCTCAGTGCAGGGCTCAGCCTCACACACAACACATGTCTGGGTCGGGAACTTCCGGTGCAGCCTCGCTCTGGCCCGCCGTGACGTCATCCTAAGAGACCTCTATGCAGTCCTGTAGCCTGGGCGCCCCTCTTCCGGGGGAAGTAATTGTCGCCGTGTCGGCCTGAGCTTCCGGTTCTGGGTCCCCGGGCGCAGTGAGTGAGGTCGGTGGTGAAAGCGGCGGCCTCCTCCTGTGGGTGGCGGGTGCCATGGCGGAGCTGGTGCCGGGACAGAGCGCGGCTCCCGTGGGGATCAAGTCCGAGGGATTCGCGGACGCGCTGCACCACCGGGTCCGGCAGGTGAGGCCGGCCGTGTCCGGGAGGGGAGCAGGCCGCAGCTCAGCCTGGGAGGATGGGTGGGCGGAGGGGAGGGATTCCTGAGACACACGGCGGGGAGGGGAGAGAGAGACAGCCCGGGCTTCTGAAAGACTTTTAGGCTGGAGGCCTCATCCTGGGCCTTGATCCGCTCCTATCCACCCAGAGCCATTCTCAGCACCACCCCTGACCCACAGAGCTAACACTTCACCCCCAATAATGTCTGACCCACAGAGCTAACAATTCATTCTGTCCAGGCAGTGTCTGAACCACGGAGTTAACCCTTCAATTCCCCCATCTAATGTCTGACCCACAGAGATAATGTCTGACCCACAGAGGTAACACTTCATCCTGTCCAGGCAATGTCTGACCCACAGAGGTAACACTTCATCCTGTCCAGAGATCATCTGCAATGTCTGACCCTTACAGAGGTAACACTTCATCCTGTCCAGGCAATGTCTGACCCACAGAGGTAACACTTCAACTTCTCCCAGAGATCATCTGACCCACAGAGCTAACACTCCACCTTATCCTGAGAACATCTGACCCGCAGAGCTAACACTTTACCTTATCCAGAGAACATCTGACCCGCAGAGCTAACACTTCACCTCCCCCAGAGAATGTCTGACCCGCAGAGCTAACACTTCACCTCCCCCAGAGAATGTCTTACCTGAGAACTAGCGCTTCACCTTATCCAGAGAACGTCTGACCCGCAGAGCTAACACTTCACCTTTTCCAGAGAATGACTGACCCGCAGAGCTAGCACTTCACCTCCCCCAGAGAATGTCTGACCCGCAGAGGTAACGCTTCATCTCCGTCCCCCAGAGAATGTGTGACTGGCAGAGCTAACACTTCACCTTCCCCAGAGATTGTGTGATCCGCAGAGCTAACTCTTCACCTTCTCCAGAGAACGTGTGACCCGCAGAGCTTAACACTTCATCTTCTCAAGAGAACTTGTGACCCGCAGAGCTTAACACTTCACCTTCTCCAGAGAACGACTGACCCGCAGAGCTAGCGCTTCACCTCCCCCAGAGAATGTCTGACCCGCAGAGCTAACTCTTTACCTCCCCCAGAGAACGTCTGACCCACAGAGCTAATGCGTCACCTCCCTCCCCCAGAGAATGTCTGACCCACAGAGCTAACCCTTCACCTCCCTCCCCCAGAGAATGTCTGACCCACAGAGCTAACCCTTCACCTCCCTCCCCCAGAGAATGACCCGCAGAGCTAACACTTCATCCTGTCTAGGCAGTGTCTGACCCACAGAGTTAACCCTTCATTTCCCCCAACTGTCTGACCCACAGAGCTAACACTTCGCTTTCCTCAACTAATGTCTGACCCACAAAACGTACACGTCATCCTGTCCAGGCAATGTCAATGCCACAGAGCTAGCACCTCATCTCCCCCAGAAGAATTTCTGACCCACAGAGCGAACACTTTCACAGAGAATGTATGACCAACAGAGCTATGACTTCATCTCCCCCAACCAATGTCTGACCCACAGAGCTAACGCTTCACCTCCCCCAGCCAGAATATGACCCACAAAGCTAAGACTTCATCCTGTCTAGGCAGTGTCTGACTCACAGAGCTAACACTTCACCTCCCTCAACCAGTTTCTGAGACAGAGAGCTTCCACTTCATCTTCCCCAGCCAATGTCTAACCCTAAGAGGTAACACTTCATCTCACCCAGCTCGTATCTGACCCACGGGGCTAACACTTCATCACGCCCAGCTAAAGCCTGACCCACTGAGCTAACATTTATCTCCCCCAGCCATAGTCTGATCCTCAGAGCTAAAATGTCACCCGCAACTAAAGCCTTATCTCCAGAGCGAACACTTTATTTTCCCCAGCCAAAGTCTGAGCCACAGAGCTAACGCCTCATTTTGTGCAACTACTGTCTGAACCCCAGAGCTAACACTCTTTCCTCAGCTAATGTTTTACACATAGAGCTACCCTCCAATTAATGTCTGACCTTCAGAGGTAAACCTTCATCTTCTGCCACTAGTGTCTGACCCACAGAGCTAACACTCCTCCCCTAGCTAATGTCTGACTTTAAAATATGGTTCTCCTCCAGCTGATGTGTGACTCCCAGAGCAAACACCCCAGCTCCCTCAACTAATGTCTGACCCCAAGGCTGAACACGTAATCTCCTGTAGCCAGTGTCTAACCCCAAGAACTAACATTTCTTTCTTCCACAGCTAATGTCTTACCAGTACAGCATACACTTCTTTCCTACCCCCATCCTTCCAACAGCCAGTGTCTGAACCTGAGAGCTAACATTCCATCTTCACATCTAGCCCCCAGAGCTAACACATGATCTTCCCCAGCCAGTGTCTGACCCTTAGTCAACATTTTAATACACCCCCTTCCACACACACCTCCCACAGAGCTAACACCCCAATATCTTGCCTAAGCTATACAACCAGTCTTATTCCTGCTTGGCCAACACTCCATTCTCGTAATCTGTGTCTGACCTGCAGAGTTGACACTCGATTCCCCAAAAGTAGAACTTCCAACTTTTCTGTAACTAGAGTCAGTACTGTGAAGCTGGCATATCTTCCTTGAATAGTCTGAGCCACAGAGCTTACACTTCATACCACATAACCAGCGTTTGACCACAGAGCTTACATTTCCTCCCACACAACCCGTGTCTTATCTGCAGAACTTACATTTCATTCCACACAAATTGTGTCTGGCTTGCTGAGCTATCACTGTCCCAACCAGTATCTTCTCAGTAGAGTTCTTCAATGGTCTTTCCAACTAGTGGTACAATTTCGACTCCATCCAGTATTTCCTTCCTTCCTCTACAGACATTAACACGCGTTCATGTTATTGAAAACACTTTACAAATGTAACATTTAGATGTCTGGTCAGATCTACACTCAATATGTTCTTGATTGGTTCAGGAATTCAAGTTCCTGGATTCTGATCTTTCACTTACATTTTTTGTGGTGAAACTTTTGTCCTATCGTAGTTGTCATCCATTAATGCTGAGGGCATACCTGCAGATATTCAGCATCCATCCTCCATTATGTAAAGTGACACTTTTTTAGTAGGTTCCAGCAACTTGTGACGTGTATCTACTAAACACAGTGTTGCTGACCTTCCTTTTGCTGGAATTGTGAGCTCCCCAACTGTAGAATAGCCTCCTCTAGACTATGGCCTGTCCCCCAGAGCTTGCAGTTTTTTCAGCATCACTTCTATTACCTTCTTACTTGCCTGAAGATCTCAGCATCCTCATCTTTGAACTAGCTTGCACCCAACCTTTTGTGGATTGATCTTTCTTTTAGTGGGTTTGAGCAACCTGTGGTGTCTAGATGTTGTGGACCCTACAAATCCTAGAATGGCCTGTTGATGAGCTTGGGACATATTGTTCTCCAACATCTTGAAAAACATTGAGTACCAACAGTTTACTCTGTCCTCCTGCTTTGCATCTCAAGAGTACAATTCTTCAAACCTAACTTGACTAACTTGCAATGAATTTCTTGCCATGCTACCCTTCTCTTAGGTCAGGGAGAGCTTTGATGTCCTATTGTTGTCTAGCAACAAATCCTGCCTTCATGGACGACCAAAAACTAGTCATTGCATATACTGGGCCTTGTAGTTCCTCAGCATCTTGAAAGCCACTGGCTGCCTTCCTCTGGGATATAGACTAACCATTTCATCTCCTGTCCTCCTGCTGGCTGTCCTTACACCTTCTGCCTGGAATTATGGCTCCTTCCATATTTCTTATGTTTAACTTTTCTAATTTGTGTTATGGACTGCTGTGATTGTTATACTGACCTTGCTGTCACATATTAACAAATAAAGTTATATTTTAATGTCAATGTCTTTTTTTCCCCTTTCTCTTACCTGCTTCTTCTTTCTTTGTAATTGTTCTTGTAGTAAAATGTGTAAATGCAGAGACCATGTTGTCCTAAGCAAAATACTGCAATCTGGCATAACTCATCACAAGTTACCTAATGAAATGGCTGGGGATTATAGCAGTGGTACTTTATGGGATGATTGCTGGGTTTTTTTTTTTTTTGACTCTGGTATTCCCTTTTGGGAGATCAGAAAGAAAACTTTTTATCCCCTGGTAAAGGATTTTGGACCATGTTATTTATAGGTTTTTTTTCTTTTTTTTTTTTTGCATTACTTGGGATCAGCTGTCGGCATAGGATTTGTATATGGAAGTTCTATTTATTTATTTTTTTTCTGTTGGTTGAACTAGATGGGCTTTTTGTCTTTTTTTTTTTACAACCTATGTAACCATGCAATGTGCTATACCTGTGAGCCAGAAAGGCAGTGTACCAAAAGCTTTACATTTGCACCTAAGACTTGCTATGGATACGAGATAACCAGATCGCACTATAAAATGATCAAGGCATAAAATGAGTACGGTATTCATTATTCTTTTCGATCTGCAGAGCTGGCCTTGTCTGATGGCAATAGTGCAAGATGATCTATTTCAAGTAATTGACATCCCAGCTTCCTTCAAAGATTAGTAGGTCTAAATGTGATTTCCAGCTCATAGAGTACCTACAGTAGCCATTCTCAAGCAGGGTTCCCGCAGGGATTGCTAGGGGTTCTTTAAAGGAGTAGTTCAGGAATTTAAAAAAGCAATCATTCACATAGGTGGATACAGTATCAATCCATGCTGTATCTGTACCCCCCCGGGCTCTAAGACCGAGAACTGAGTGATTAAGGGCTGCCAAATCCCCAGCTTTTTATTTTCAGTGAGCAGAGGGCTGGTGACTGTTAGTCTGGACCTGTTCTGAGTCTGGACCAACAGAGTGACGTCCGATGACAGTGTGATTCAGCCAGCTGTCAGCTGAAATTGGGTCAAAGGAATGCAGAACGAAGTACATTCCTGTGACCCATAGAAGTATAGCCAAAAGAAGCCGTAGGTCTCCTTTAAGCTGTGGTGAATTTAATTGCGATTCATACTGTGTCAATGTCACTTGGCATAGCCAGATTAATGACGCCCATGCTTTAGCTGTCTGTA